GGGCTTGGGGCTTGGGGGTCATGGGCTCACTGTGGGTGGGCACACGGGAAGATAGTGGGAGAGCAAACCCATGTCCCTTCTTGCAGAGCCTCTGAGAAACTCCTCCTGCCCCATCACAGACATCCAGGATGGGGGGATGGATGTCCTGGACTTGTGGGCACCTCGAGGTGGGGCATCCCTGGGGGCTCGGAGGAGGATCTCAGCTGGCTCAGGGTTCAAGGACTGGGGTCTTTTGAGGCAGAAAGGCACCTACGTGTCTAAAAATCATGTAGATGTGGTGCTTAGGGACATGGTGTAGCAGTGGACTTGGTAGAGTTGGGTTAGTGGTTGGACTTGATGGTCTGAAAGGTCCTTTCCAAGCTAAATGATTCTGTCATTCTCGGATGCTCGTGCAGCCCTTGGTTGCACAGCAATGATTTTTCTGAGCTCTGGGCAAGTGGCCTGGTTTGAAACCAACACCCATCTTCTCCCCAGGCCTCTTTCAGGCCACCAAAGGCACGATATGAATACACAGCAGGGTTACCCTCAGGCCTGGGAAGGGGAGGATGAGGAGGGGGGAGCAAGCAGGCTTTTACCTGAGACAACAGCACGTTGGGTTCCTGACCTTGGTACCATCCATCAGAGGGAGGGCAGGAGGAGGCCAGCGGGTCAGGCAGCTCCACTCTGACCCTCTGGACATCCATTTACACACGGGCTACTGGGTAGAATAGCAGGGACCAGAGCAGGACACACTGGGGCTTGTGATGGGAAAAAAAGTGAGTGGCCGAGGGGAGCTTTAAAGAGGCTTTGACCCCGAGTGGAAACCCGGGTGAAAAATGACTTTGCTCCTGTCCTCCTGCTCAGAGCTGCTTTTTTTTTTCCCCCCCTCCCTTTACTGCCACTTCTTTTGCTTATGCAATCAGATGCTAATGCTTTGGCGTGCAGCAGAGTCGCTTGCATTTTAAGGTCAAAATCCCTAAAGTTTGTAAATCGTTGTCCTTTAAAAAGATCAGATGTGTAGAAATAGTTTATACATGAGGAGCCTGGTGAGAGCAGAGTGGGAACTTGGCTGGGAGATGAACTCGGTGATCTTGGCCTCTTTGTCCCTTGGCTGGCTGGTTTTCTCCCAGGCTCCACATGTGTTGGTGCCACACCTTGCACAAAGTGGGGTGGGGGGTTTTGGGAGCATCCCCTTTAGCATGAAACCCACCTAGGATGCATGTCAGGGTTGGTATTATCCTCTTGTCTTTCTTGTCCTGTCCCCAGGGATGTCAGGCAGCTGGAATAAAAACAGAGCTCTGGTTTTGAGAAGGCTCCAGGTTCTCAAAGTGAGCCCCCCCCAGATGCCTCCTTGCTTTGGAAGGCTGCAGCCAGATGAAGAGTTGTCCCTTTCTGCCTCCCCACCGTGTGTGGCACTTCTCTTCACATCACTTCTCTTCAGCTGGGTTTGGTGTTGCCAAGTTCTCCATCCCATCTATTTCTTCCGAGTTTGTGGACAGCGGGAGGTGCTCAAAAGGGGACATTTAATTGTGCAAGATTTGATTAAAATCTTGGAAATGGGTTTCAGATGGCAGCGAAAGCTGAAACCTGGGAGGAGCTAAGCCCAGGGTGCTTTTATTACCAAAATTCTGTGTGGCTCTGACCTTTAGGCATCCCATGCTGAAGGCAAAGGGTGCTGGAGTGGTCTGTGGGTGCTGGAGGACATCAGCAGGGCTCGATTCTCCTCCCTAGGAATTAAATCCCTTGCACCCAGCAGAGCTGGGCAAAGCCCATCATGCTCCCTGGGTGCACAGGGATTGACAAAGAAAATGATATTTAAGTAAATCCAGTATTTCAGAGCCATCAGAGGCAGAAATTAGATGAAGGCCTGGCCCTCCCCCCTCTGTCTCAGCTCCCACGGCTGAGGCTTGTCCACAAACACGTTGAGTTTCACACGTGTGAGCTTTTCTAGAGATGTGGGACACTGCTGACTAAAATAAGGTTTCTGCAAACGTTAGCAGGCTCGGGGCTTTTGGGCTGTTTTGTCTTCTGAAGAAATTTTAACTAGTAGCTACAATCTAGCAGGAAAAAAAGAGTAGATGCTGTTTCAATCCTCTGTTTGCCAAGGCGTGACGTGTTTTGGAGGAGAAGCCTCGCGAGGCACATTTTGGTGTTTAAATAGAAACCCTTCTCTGGCACTTTGCTTCTTGAAATGCTGTATTTTTCTTTTTTTTGATTTGAAAATAGACCGTCTGCTGACCTCTCCCTGAGAATCCCTTTTAAGTCCTCCCTGTTTTGACGTGTTGTTTGGGCAGAGCTCAGCGTTCACCTTCCTAAACCCCAACCTTATCCCCCCGCTACTGCAAAATCGATTTGCTGGGGGGTGGGCAACCCCAAACCCCACGAATCCTGGCAGAGAAGGGGATCAGCAAGAGGGTTGTAGGGCAAACATAAAACAATTCTGCATGCCCCTCACCTTGCCCTGCTTCTCTCCGTGGCTTGCCCACCTCCCCATAGGTTTTCACGAGTGATTCAGTGTCAAAATTGGGGTTAGAAACGTTTTCTGCGCCCAGCTCTGAGTCATCCTCCCCTAGCAGCCGGGAGCAGTGAACTGCCGTTTAACCAGAGGGGAGCAGATTCCTGGGTGGTCCCTGAAACCACAGAGCACAGAAAGCAAAGCATTAAACTGTAACATGAGGCTGAAGGGAAAGGGGCACTGAACCACTTTCTCCCCGGCGTTATCTCGGCGCGGCAGATGGAGAGCAGAGATAGCGAGCCTGGCTGCTCGTTTTTTCCGTGCCCTCTCCAAGCCAAATCCAGTAAATAATGAAGTGTAATTTGCCAAATAGCCTTTGAATGTATTGTTTGCTTTTGAAGGGCCTGATACTTCCCGTGTGGCAGCAATCCCTGATTTATGTGGTGGGGTTAGGGGGAAGCAATCGCGTCCCGAGAGGCTTCGGTGTCGGGAGTTTTACTGGTCCTACCTGAGCAAAGAGTCATTTGAGTCATTACTTGAGTGTCTTGATGACTGATGGTAGAGGGGGCTGCAAACAGAGGGAGTGATTTTCGTAGAATCATCAAATAGTTTGGCTTGGAAGGGACCTTTAAAGATCATCCAGTCCATTGCAGTGAGAGACGCATCTTTTACATCTTTTTTTACATCTTTTTTACATCTTTTTTTACATCTTTGCACATCTTTTACTTGGGGACAACGGGTGGAAGGGTCAAAACATGGACACTGAAAAGTTGTTGCCTTTGGCTTGGCAGTGGAATTGCCTTTGGTGCAGCCAGCTGGTGATTTGGGGCTGCTTTGCTCTTTTTGTAGAGCTACACGTGGATGCTTATTGACCCAACCCCAAGATTCCCACTTGGGAAAAAAAACCCAACCCAACATCACGTTATTTAGACTTTAAATGATGCTTGTGGAGGACCCGAGTGGAGCAGGAAGCCCAGACTGGGTCTCCATCCAGATGTTCATGAAAACCCTTGAAGACCTTGCTCATGTTGTCATTTTTCCCCTAAGAAGAGTTTTCATGGAAAAATTTCCAGTAGGCTGCAGAACTCAACCTGCTTCAGGTGGAACATTTCCATACAAGACCCATAAAATTCAGTCGTTTGAGACAGTGGCTGTATGAGGCTTTTCTTCCCCATGAAAGATGGTTTTCAGGAATGCTTCAAACATAGGAAAAAAGAGCCAAACCTTTATTCAGATCCAGGACTTATTTATTTTTCAAATGGTTGCTTTTGTTTATGAAACTCTTTGGCTACAACTATTCGCCTCCTTCCAAATAAATTAGAAAAAGGCCAAAAAAAAAAGCAAGAGGAAGAGCTTTGCTTCCCATCAGGACTTACTCCAAGGCCTGGCTGTTGGCTTGGCCCTGTGCTGTCCCATGGGGTGGCTGAGCATTGTTCAGTGACTCACCCCAAATCATCTCGCTCCGTGCTATGGGCTCCTCGTGATGTCATCCTGGGCTAATGTGGGATTTTCCAGCTCTTTTTGTTTTCCCTGCCTCATTGGATGGGCTTTCTGCTGGTTCTTCATCCTGCCTCAGCCTGCTGTCAGCTTCGTTTTTGCCCGTGATTCTTGAAAATGAATGTTTTCCTTTTGCTTTGCCTTGGGCTGGGATGTCCAGAGGTGGAGCGGTGGTTTTTCTCCCTGCTTTCTTGTTGACCCTGGTGTGGGACTCTACCTTCATTGGCCTCTGGACCTTCTCAGCTGTCTCCCAGGGGCCACCTGGGGTGGTGAAGCCCAGCAGGCTGGTGTCTGGAAAGGTCTTGGGCATCACCATCACATTTCCAACAGTGCATTCATGGATGGCTTGTGGGGAGACCGTGTGCACCACGTACTTCTTTATGCCCTTAAGGGTTTATTAGAAGCACAAGACTCTTTTTCTTGGGTTTAAGGAGGCTGTTTGTGGATTTGCAGGGTTTAGGTGTAGGGCTGGAGGATCTGGGTGCAAAATTTCAGACATCAGAAAGATTTCTCTTGTTTTCCTGACCAGCATGACTCCTGTTGTCTTTCCCAGTCCCGCATCCTCACGTCCCTTTTTCTCTCCTCCTCCTTCCAGACATGGAATGTGCAGATGTGCCTTTATTAACCCCCAGCAGCAAAGAAATGATGTCTCAGGCTTTGAAAGCCACCTTCAGTGGGTTTGCCAAAGAGCAGCAGCGCCTGGGGATCCCCAAAGGTAAGATTTGGCTTCCTAGGGAGCAGCTGTGGTAGCCACAGAGAGCGTGTCCTCCTGCCCACCTGCTCTTCTGCACAGCTCATGGTTCTCTTCAGGTGGTATTGCCTTGTTTTCTTGGCAGCTTCAGCTGGCAAAATGGGAATGTAGAGGCAAAACCACTTGCAGGCTACATCTGTCTGACAATCTGAGCCCATGTGTCCTGCTGACTTCTGCTGGGTCACTGCTCTTGCAGCTCTGGGGACCTGCCTCTTTGGGGGCAGCTCCAGACCTCCTATTTTTAAGTCATCTCCACTGGATGGAGAAGCAGCAAGAACCCTTCACCAGAGGCTGGTGGCAGGGAGAAGCCAAGAAAAATGGAGAAATGAATGGGAGAAGAGGTCAGAGAACTGGTGGGATAGTTAAAAGTCCCAAACAAATCCCAAACTTACCCCTTGTATGACATTTATGTGCAAATCTGACCGATCCCAACTGCAGGTGTGGTGTCCCCCACCACGTTTTATCCTTGTGGCAGTGGGATAATGGGACCATCCGTGGGATGAGGCTGTTCAAGTGCAGTGCAGCTGTTTGTGCCCTGTTTTCCTGGGGCTGTGGCTTGTGGTTGCTCATTAATGGATGTCTTCTTCTCCCCCCCTCCTTGGTGCAGATCCCCAGCAGTGGACGGAGACGCACGTGCGGGACTGGGTGATGTGGGCGGTGAACGAGTTCAGCTTGAAGGAGGTGGACTTCCAAAAGTTCTGCATGAATGGAGCTGCCCTCTGTGCCCTGGGCAAGGAGTGCTTCCTGGAGCTAGCTCCTGACTTTGTGGGAGATATCCTTTGGGAACACCTGGAGATCTTGCAGAAAGGTGAGTCCTGGAGTCTCTGGGGTGAACGGCTCACGCTCTCCCCTCCAGCCTGATTTTGGGCCTTTCCAAAGACCTTTCCAAAGGTGTTCCCTTTTTAGGCTTTAATCCCACTTAAAAGCAGCTTTCAAAGCCCAACTTTCCAGCAGGGTTTCCAGCGGTAGTGGGCAAAGCAAATCCTGGCACTGCTTGAAAGAGGAAGGGTGTTTGCAGGGACCTGCGGTGGGGTGGGACACGGGTGGGATTTTCCAGAGCATTCTTGTCAGCTCATTCAGCTCCTGTTGTGAATTTTACTGCTTCCTCCAGCAGAACAGGGTACAAAGAACACCACCAAAATCCCACCCTCACTTCCCAGTTGGGGTTTGGAAGCTGCTTTGCTTTGCTTCGTGCCCCAAAAGGTGTCGTGGCACTTATATTAAGAGTGGCTGTGTCTCCCCCAGAAGAAACCATCTCTGCCAGTCCTCACCTGACAGCATTCAAGGGGGTTGATTTTCATGGACTGGGGTCACCCACATCGATTTGGGGTGTTGCTTTTCACAGTGGCCCAGCAACACCTAGCCTGGGATGGCTTCTAAAGAGCGGGTGAGGAGCTCAACACCTTTAACAGAGCCACAGGCAGGAGCAGCAGCAAATCTGGGCTCCTCCTCTAGCTCCTTTTTCCTCAGAGCTCTTTGCTTTCCTGGAATATCCCCTGTGCTGTCATACTGAGCCCGAGTGCTTGTCAGCAGGCCTGTGCTGGAGGGAGGAAGGGGAGGGGGAGCAAAGTTCTGCCTTCCAGGAAACCATCGACGAATGGACGTTAATTGCTGATTACTAATTTTAACCCCTACCTGTGGTTTGCAGAAGGTAAACATGGCTCTTCCCAGGCCCTGTGTGCTGTTTTTCCCCTCCTCGCCTCCCTATCTGTTCTGTTCTGCTCGTTTGGCATCATTTTTATTGAGTGCTTGTATCAACAGCCAGCAGCTAAACCAAACAGAGCAGAAGGTTGTGGTCAGTCCGGTTCCTCCGTGCTCTGAGCCACTGCTCCTGACACAGCTTTGCCTCCTGGCAGCCTTCTTCTTTGGGCTGGAGAGGGCTGCCATGTGCTGCAGGTATTGATGGAGGTCTCAGAGCTGGGTTGGCTTCTGCCTGCCTCTTCCCCAAGGCACAGAGGTGAACTTGGTGCTGTAGTTTCAGAGCTGAGTAGGGATCTTGTTTCCTTCTGGCATTGACACACGTGGGTGTTAGCTGCAAGGTGGGGTCTCTTCTCCCAAGGAAAAATCAACAGGACAAGAGGAAATGGCCTCAGGTTGTACCAGAGGAGGTTGAGGTTGGAGCTGAGGAACAATTTCTTCCCCTGGAGGGTTGCCCAGGGCTGTGCCAGGCTGCCCAGGGCAGTGGTGGAGTCCCCACCCCTGGAGGGGTTTCCAAGCCGTGGAGATGTGGGGTGAGGGACATGGTTTGGTGGGTGCCCCAGCAGTTCTGGGGCAATGGTTGGACTCCATAATCTTGAAGGTCTCTTCCAAGCAAAACGATTTGATGGTTGTATGATGCTGCAGTCAGGAGGGTGCAAAAGGCCCGAGACAGAGAGGAGCTGGAAATCTTTGGGCCTGCTGCAGCTTTTCATCCAAAAAGAGGAAAAGAGAAAGAATGAAGCTGAGTTTCTTTGTCTGAGCTCTGTTTGTGTAGCCCTGGGAACTGAGAAGTCTCCCTTCTTTGTTGTTTTCCTGGTGACATTGTCACTTCTTGCATAAACTGGGCCTTAGCTTCTCTGGTGGGTTCTTAACACGTTTCCCAGAAGGGCAATATGTGTGAAGTATTTGGAGAGTAGCTAAAAAGAGCTTCCAAGAAATAACCAGCCTCACCCCAAGCGCTCGTTTCTGTTCGCTGTAAGTCATGGGACTCGTGTTACTGGTAGAACATCTCCAAACCCCTGACAAGATCTGGGACCTGTTGTGCTGGTACAAACAGAACGTGCAAAACTGTCCCTGCCACATCTCTCCCCGTGCAAGAGAATCACAGGCTGGTTTGGGTTGGAAGGGACCTTTCAAGCTCATCTGGTCTGCAGAGAGCAGGGACACCTGCAACTAGAGCAGGTTGCTCAGAGCCCTGTCATAGAATCAATATGGTTGGAAAGAACCTCTAGGATCATCAAGTCCAACCTTCATCCCAACATCTCCCCAACCACTAGAACCCATCCAACCCAACCATGAAGTTGTCTCCACTTGGCAGCTGTGGACGTGAAGCATGAAGAGATCAAGGTTTCCCCAGCCTCAACCATGGAGTCAGGGTCCAACTTTCTCATCCCTATCTCCTCCACCTTCTCCAGCCACCGACCATGAAGTTTGGTTGTCTCCACTGTGCAGCTGGAGACGTGAAGCATGAAGAGATCAAAGTTTCCCCAGCCTCAACCATGGAGTCAGGGTCCAACTTTCTCATCCCTATCTCCTCCACCTTCTCCAGCCACCCACCATCATCCCGTGAGGGTGTTGATGATGCTGGGAGCGGCGGTAACCCCCCCGAGTGTTTGGCTTTGGTTGTGGAGCTGTGAGGGTGGGCACCAGGTCACGCTGGGACAGGCTGTGACCTTGGTGTCCCTCCATCTAAGATGCCTCCCTTGTGAGCACTCTGGGAGTGACTCATGGACCACAGCCTCGGCGTTCAAAACCGGCAGCAGATGGGCGACTTTTCCCTGCATGGATTTGGGTATTTTCAGGCATCTTTTCTTTTTTTTATTCCCCCAAATTTCTTCCTAAAATAACCTCTTCGGTTACCAGCAGTCAGCAGTGCCCTCCAGTTGACTGTAAGCAGAGCTGAAGGTTGCTCTCTTGCTCTGTGGTCACCCACCCTGCCCCTTGGCAGACACCGTGGGGAGAGGAGAAGAGCGTTTCTCATTAGGGCTCTCTGTTTGCTCAAACTCTCCTTTTGTTAGGGAATATTTTCCACCCTGCAATCCCCAGGAGAGAGGGCCAAAATTAGGCTCTTTGCAAGCGAAACGTGCGTTATCTTCGCTCCTCTGGAGCCTCAGCAGAAATAAACAGAACTCAAGAGCTGGTTGTGTGGGTTTTATTTTGGTTACCCTCCCGCAAAGAAAATAAAATCTGCCCTGCTGGTATCTCTGCCCACATACCGTGCTGGAAAGGGGAAGGTGTTCATGGAAAAACTGGTCAGGGTGGGAGCAGCAGGGCTGTTACGTGGGAAAGCCAAGCCCAGCAGTTCCAAAAAGCTCAAAAAAAACCCCCATGGAACATGGAGAATCTGTGTTTTCATGTGCTCCTCCTGGTGGAGTCCCCATCCCTGGAAGGGTTTCCAAGCCGTGGAGATGTGGTGCTGAGGGATGTGGTTTTGGGGTGGATTTGGCAGTGAGGGGTCAACAGTTGGGCTCAACAATCTTCAAGGTCCTTCCAACCCAACCAATTCTATGATTCCTCAGTGAATTATCCCTCTAGAGAGGCTGAAATTTTGTGTACTGCCCATATAGACACTGTGGAATGTATCAGGAGCTGGGTGGTGGACACTGTGAGAAAGCTTTTCAGGGCATGGGATCCTCTGCCCCCATCAGGTGTGAGGTAAAAGGTGCTGTGTAGGCTGGGAAGTAGCATTAATTTGGGGTTGTAGGAGCTGGTTTTGGTATGTTACCCACTCACTTGCACACACCTACTGCTGGGCTAAAAATAGGGACTTCAGGAAAACAACTGTCCTTGTACAGTGGTTTTATTTTCACGAGCTCACATGTGTGAGTGTGAGAAGCAATCCTCAAGAGAGTGAAAGATGACAAAAATCAAGGCAAGCAAGGAAATGATGCAACTGGTATTTTGGAACCACCTGGAGCCTCTGCTTGAGAAAGTTGTTGGTGTTGTCTTTGGGTTTGTTTTGTTTCAGTTGGGGCCAAAGGAACCCAAGTTCTCCACCAAGCCCTTGTTTTGGTGGGATTGCAGCTCCTATCTCGTTGCTCTTCCTCTGACTGCCCCAGCTGAACCCAGAGAGGAGGATTTTAGGAAGTTCAGACCTCTCTGTGTTACAGCAAGTCTTGCAAAGCGTGATCTGCCCGTGGACATGTGACATTTCCTTCCTTTCCTCTTTGCAGAAGAGGTAAAACCATACCCAGCAAATGGAGTGAACACGACCTACCCAGAGTCCCGCTATACTTCAGACTACTTCATTAGTAAGTCTCAATTAATCAGTCTCACTCTGGGGCTTCCAGGCATGAAAGTGCCACCTATTTATTTAGAAGCCTACTGTGGTTTTTGGTGCCATCATCTGACTTTGCCAGCGACTCTTTGCTCGAAGCTGTAGCTCAGCAGACCTAAAAAACAACCTCAACACTCCACAACATTGGGAAATTTAAAAATCTTATTAAAAAAAGGGAAGGGATGGGGGAAGAAAGCTTGATTTTGGATTGGGAGGTAGGAGCCTAGCAAGGAAGGGGCTGAGTCATCGGTCTGGACTCCTGCACTTTCTGTTGCCATTGGTTTGGAGATGTTCTTGAAGGGCATTTGGAACCTGTGATGTACTTGATGAACCAGCAAAAAAACCCAACTGGGATTCCAGGCTCTGTGAGGCCAGTGAGGAGGGGTGACTGTGGAAGTGGTTCATCTACTACAGTCATCAATGAAACTTCCTTGCCTGGTATCTTCTTTACTGAGACTACACTTTTCATGATTTTTCCATTTTTTTTTCCCACTAGCAGCTTGCTTGAGAGGAGTTAGTGATGCACATGGATGATGGTTGAGGATGTCATCCTCCATCACCATCTCTCTGTAGCTTTTAGAAGCCACACTCAAAGTCAGTGCCCAGTCGTGGCAGGTATTTCATATCCTAGGCAGTCTCCTCTTGCACTGCAGACCCCAAACCTCACTGTGCTGTGGGAGATGGGATGCTGGAGGAGCCGGGCAGGAGAGCTCTGGGTTCTTTGAGCTGTTGAGGTTTGCTCCTGCTTACTGACCCTCCCTGTTCTGCTGACAGGTTATGGCATCGAGCACGCCCAGTGCGTGCCCCCCTCCGAGTTCTCCGAGCCCAGCTTCATCACAGAGTCCTACCAGACCCTCCACCCCATCAGCTCAGAAGAGCTCCTGTCCCTCAAGTATGAGAATGACTATCCCTCAGTGATCCTGCGTGACCCAGGGCAGACAGACTCCCTGCAGACAGACTACTTCACCATCAAGCAGGAGGTCGTCACGCCAGACAACATGTGCATGGGACGTACCAGTCGAGGTAAAATCAGTGAAATCTCCCAGGGTTTTCCTTGGCTTCCTCCTGTTCCACCTTGATCCACGTAGGTGCTGCCCTCCCTCCCCTAGGAGACAGCATTTGGGGGCATCAGGGTGCCAGTAACAAAGCCACGTGTCTGAGGGGGTTGAACTTCCCAGGTGGGTTCTCCATCTCCTTGCTCCTTCTCTCCATGGCTAACATGATGAAGGGCTTTGCTCTGCTCTCCTGGCACTCTGTTTTTACATCATCTCCTTTTCTGGCTCTGGACTTTGATGACAAACTGGATGTTGAAACAGGCTTTAATGTTATTCAGGAGGACATGGCTGTGTGGTTGTATAAATCCCATTTTCCTAGGAGACCAGGCCACAAATCCTTCACGAGTTCTCCTCAGGAATTGCCATCCGAGGCTCTGAAGGGTTTTACACTTGATGATTCAAAGTCTTCCTCTGTTATCCCCGTTGATTTTGATGCCTGCCTGCTTGTGAGAAGCTGTTCTGATGAACCCAAGCCCTTTTTTGGTTTGATGAAACCAAATCCAAGCTTTGTTAGGAGGTGCAGATGTCATGGGTTGAGCCAGCAGCAGAGCTGAAGGACCCCCTAACTCCTTGTGCTACAGCTCTGCTTCCCCAAAGAATTACAGGTACCTGAGTCCTGTTTGAGGTGATGGGATTTAAACACCTGAACACTTTGGAGGATTTAAGCCCAAATGCCTTTTCAATTAACATTATTAAATTCTGAACACATGGGGCCCAGATGCTTAACTTTATAATTACATGGCTTAATGCAAGGCTGAGGATCTGGCTCACAGGATATATTCAAAGCCAAAATTTCAAAGCTCAAAGGCACTTACAAAGGGGTGTCATTATCTCCTGATTCCAGGTAGGGAACTTGAGGCTCAGGGCAGAGATCTGACCTGCCTTCCATCGTGCCCTGAATAGAACCCAGGTGTCCACATGCCTAAAATTCATTATAGGAACATGTTGCTGGGAGCCAGGTTTGATGTTGAACATTTAAACCCATTCACTCAGCAAGGAGAGGTGAGGATTTGGTGGCTCCCTGTGGATGCTGGAGCCCCTCTGCAGGTCTGCATCCCATCCGTGCTGCTCAGTGGAGGCCATCTGAAGTTTCTCCTTCTTTTTCTGAGCTGGGTTGGGCAATGACAGGGAAGTTGTTGTTGTTTTATTACCTCTGCTTCTTCTGCTGGCTGAATGTTAATGGGAGAGAGGTGACTTGGAGGATACAGGGAGTCAGAAGGGCAGCACTGTTATAATTTTAGGTGAGCTCCTTCTCTTTCTGGGGTTGTTTTCTGTCTGTCTTTCATCAGCGTCTTTCCCTTTTCTTGACCTTTTCTTTAACATAGGTGATTTCATAATAATCCTCATCGACATGCAATGATTCAGGCAGGCTTTTGCAATTCTACCTTGAGCCTGTGCTCACTGGCAAGCCCAAAAAGGCTCCAGGGGAGGGAAGAAACAGCCTAGAATTAGTAACCAAGGGCCCCTGGTGTGAGCAAACACTTGCACGGACTGATTGCAGCTGGAGAAATGCAACAGGCTGTGGCTGGGCTGACACCAACTCTGCATTTCAGCCACGTAGAGGGGCCTTTGGGTGGCATTAACCCTCCCAGAGTGGCACAAGGAAGCCTTCATATAAAGCAGAGGCCAGTTTGTTTATATTTACCTACCTCTTTACCTTCCACTGTTATGCTAAGGTGAGTCTGCTGTGAAGCCAAGAGCTTCAAGTTCAGGCTGAAGGTTTTTTTTCCAGCCAGTTGCCTTTTGTCTTTCCCTGTGTGGACTTGAGGAGTTAATTCTGTGCTCCCCTGGGAGTTGTTTCACTTTGCCTTATCAGCGAGGGCGTCCGGTTGGAAAGTGCAGCTGCCAAACTCTTCAGGAGTTGCTCCTGAGTAGGTGCAAGGCATGATTTTTTCCAGAGGCTCCTATTTAGGTGAATTTTCAATGAAATGACCCAAGTCATGTGTCTGGCAGGTCTTTAATTCCTTTTCTAAAGGAGCTGGTGCTTCTCAGGGAAGTGGTTATGCCAATTAATGAACGTGCACCAAGCAAATCTTCATTTCCCCCTTGCAGGATTCAGGAAGTGATTGAAGTGTGTTCTGTGAAATTCTCAAACAAAGACCAAAAAAAACCCTAAAACCCAAAAATGAATTGGAATATTACCCAACAGAATCAAGCCAATGGATTCAAGTGCTTCTGGAGCAGCAATCAGGGCAGAGCCCACGGTAGTGGAGTCTTTTTTCCAGCAAGTGCTCTTCAAACTACAACACAACAAATATTTGGGGGAGCGTTGCCAGCATCTTTCCACGTTCCTGTTCCCCTGGGATCTGCTTGCTGAGCCCAAGCTGCGGGTAGCTCTGCCAATGGAAATTTCTCCAGGAGCTCTTGCACAATCCCAGCAGCTGTTTTTAGCCTGGTTTGGGAAATTAGTGAACTTGAATGATCCTGTTACGCTCTTAGTTTGTCAGTAAAGAGGTTGAGCAATCGGCAGCATAGATCAGAGAGAGACATTTCAGTTGGTTCTTCAGATCCTTTTTTCTCTCTCTGTTTCAACTACAGAGGGTATAGTTCTGTTGTTGGGTGTAAACCAGCTAGACCACTGCTGAGGATCTGGCCTCTCACGTTCTGGTCTTCACTAAAAATACCCCAGAGAGCAGCTTTGATACAACCCAGCTGGGCTCACCCTACCAGCACTGGAAAAAGAGCTTGTTTGAGCTCTCAGCCCTTTGCTCTCCTCCTCCATCAAATCTGCTGCTGTTTGGGGACCTAGAGGGGGGGGAGGGAGGCTGCTTGTAACATCTGGCAATAAAAGGTCACTGTATAGTTTTGCAGGAAACATCAGAAGTAGAGAAGCTGGGTGTCCAGTGCCCCTGAATATACCTGAGCAGCACTGACATAGGGCTGGCAGAGGTAATAGGGGGTTTCTTGGAGACCCATATCTTCCAGCAGCAAGAGGTCCTGGCACCCCAGCTGAGCCTTGACTATCTGTCTGAAGTGGATTATTTCTCTGCCGTTGCACTTTTGAAACAGAGGATCATTTCCAGTTAGCCCCAGGCATCAGGATTTGGAGTTTTCCCCCTGCCTCTGCCTTCCTTAGCAGCCAGAACTCCTCCGGGGCTCGATAGCCCTGCTCTGAGTTGCAAAGACAGGTATCCCAGTTTGAGGCCATCCTGTTGAGTTTATTTGGAGATGGGGCGTGGTGGGCAGGCCAAACACCCTTCTCCTGGCCGTGGGGAGCTCCAGCCTCCCCTTGCTGCCCAGCCACCCTTCACCCACCCACCCTTCTTTCTCTCCAGGTAAACTGGGTGGCCAGGATTCCTTTGAGAGCATCGAGAGCTACGACAGCTGCGACAGGCTGACACAGTCCTGGAGCAGCCAGTCCTCCTTCCAGAGCCTCCAGCGTGTCCCTTCCTACGACAGCTTTGACTCAGAGGACTACCCTGCTGCCCTGCCCAACCACAAGCCCAAGGGCACCTTCAAGGACTATGTTCGAGATCGGGCTGATATGAACAAGGACAAACCTGTCATCCCTGCTGCTGCCCTCGCTGGCTACACAGGTAGGGCCATGCTCCTCAGGAGACCTGCTTTCTGCTGGGTGTTTTGGGCTGAGCCTCTCTGTCCGTGGAGGGCAGAGCTTCTGAGGTCTCTGGGTGTCCAACGTTGCTGGTCTGTGAGCGAGGGTTTGGGGTCAGAGACAAGTCTGACAGCTTGCAGCCCTCCATGTCCTTCAAGCATGGGTGTTCCAGAGCTCAGGGAGGATGTAGGACCTGGCTGAGCTCAGGGCATGGGGTGCCTTGTGTTTTCACTCAGCTTGGGTTGGGTGGGAACTGGTGTCTGGGTTGTGTTGCTGAGAACACAAGGTAGCAGGGAGCCTGTGTCTCACCCTCTGACACTTGTGTGTTGGCCACTTGCCTGTGGTTTCCCCCTTGCAGCAGGAGCAGCTGTGTTTCCAGCACTGCTGTGTGTGAAGTGATCTCTTCTTCAGCCCTTGGTTTTGCTCTTTACCTTGGTGAGAGGCAGGGAGGGGATGGTGCCAGAGCAGACCCGAATATTTTCCATTCCCTGCCCTGGGAGAGATGAGAAGGTGATAGGGCATGGAAACTCCAGCTTTTTATATGACAACCCTCCAGCAATCTGGCATCTCATGGAGGAGAAGCCTGGTGGGATGGGACTTCCAGCTAAAACTGAGATAATCCTTTCCAGTCCTTCTGTGCCATGGCTTTTCCTTGTACTCTAAGTCAAACTCGCAGGGCAGCCTCCTGCCAGTTCCCTTTTCCCTTGTACATTCTGATCCCTCCTGCCCCAGCTGGTAGCAGCTGTGGAGGAGCCAAGTGGTGGAAATAGTTTTGTGCAGATAAAGATCATCAAAAGGTTCAGAGCAGATCCTGAGGTGCCACTGTCCCTGAAATCTCCTCCCACGCAGGGCTCAGCTCAGGGCTGATACTGAGGGGTTTTTTTTTTTTTGGGAGGGGGGCCGTGTAGAGATGCAGAGAGGAGGAGAGGTGCAGAGATAATTTTAGGAGCTATGTGTAAAAAAGGAAGTGGTTTGTTGCTATAGCTTTAGTTAGAAAGAAAGCTCAGCCCTGCCTGCTGAATGAGCCTGTTTTGACCAAGTCTACCCAAAAGAAAAGGGTGTTCTGCTATCCCTGAATGGGTTTTGCCCCAGGGGATGTGGTGGGGAGAGGTGTGAGTGGTAGGAGGGGCTGTGACCCAGGACACAGTCCTCCACCTTCCTAAGAAAAGAGACCAGTGAGCACGACTTGTCATTTTTATTCCTATTTCCCCCTGCTAACACCTTTCACCACAGCCCGTGGGAGCCTTTTGGGTACCCAGGAGCATTGGCTGCATTGTCACAGCTGTGGAAACTGAGGCACGGAGGCACTGGCATGACTTGGAGCTTTATTTTCCAAGCTGGCTGTTTGCTGGAGCTCCTGGAAAAGAGCCTCCCTGGAGATGTTCCCTCTGCCAGCGAGGAGCCCGGGTCGGCGCCTGGATCCAGAGTTTGGCCAAGGAATTTTAGCACCCCAAAGAGTCTCCCAGAGATGTCCTCTGTCCCTTTTTGAAGCCTGTCGACCCCTCAGCACCTGGAATTTTGTGGGCAAAGGGAACAAGGCAAAGCTGGGTGGCTGGGACAGCAGGTGACAGTGAGAGCAAGGGAGGAGACGTTGCAGGACGAGCTGCAGAACGGAGCACCCTCCAAACTGCTTTCTATTAGTGTCTTTCTGCACCAAAAATAACCCAGCCTGGCCACCAAGAAGTGCTGGACCTCTTGGGCCAGCTGAGCCAAGGGGTGTGAGGACTCTGAGGCAGAACTCCCAAGTTCTTCTTTTATTTTTGCATTGCTCTACATGACTTTTACTTTACTGGGGGGAGGAAGTGCTGTCTAGCATCGAGAGCAGAGGAACTTCAAGTCTGGGCTCTGCAGCTCTGGGGAGGAGCCTCCAGATGAGCAGAGCAGGGGATTACCAGCCCAGGGTCCCAAGTGGCCATGACCCCTCCTTTCCCTTTCTCCTTCAGCTGATGCCTTCAGCCCACCTCCACCAGCACCCAACGGTCCCGCCGTGGCGTGCGCCTCGTCGAGCTGGAACCCTGAAGCCTTTCAGAGCTCACCAATATTGTTGGGGTTTTGTTAGCAGGGCCCTGTTTTTGCTGGTGGCCCCGGGGAGGTGGCACGGGGCTTTATCACAGCGGTGGCAGATCTCTGATGGTATCTGCCCTAGGCCATGCATGCTCTGGTGAGAAGGTGCATTTGGGCGGAAGCTCCGGTTGCGTTTGATGTGTTCTTCACCCCAGCTCCGAGCAGCTTTTCAGAGCTGTGTTATCTGCCCCCACATCTTGACCTAATTTAACAAGTTGCCATGGTTGCTCAGATAGAAGTTGATGCAATTTTCTTATCTTTTTTTTTTTTTTTTTGAAGGAGAAATGTAACTGCTCAGGAGTTGCTGAACTTTTCGGAGTTGCAGGGAGGGACACCTCCCATTTTGGGGCCAGCTCTCTCAAAGCTTGGCCAGTCTTACAGAAAGCAAGAGTTTCTTTTTTTTTTACTTTGTTTTTATCCATTAAATTCAGATATAAGGAAGAAATTCTAGATATCAGGAAGAAAATTTTGGTAGTGAGCCCCTGGCCCAGCTCGCTGCCCCATCCCTGGAACCATCCCAGGGGAGGTTGGATGGAGCTCTGAGCAACCTGCTCTAGCTGCAGATGTCCCTGCTCCCTGCAGGGGGTTGGATGAGATTAGTTTGAAAGGTCTCTTCAACCCAAACCAGTCTGTGATTCTGTGGTTCTATGAAATGGAGGCATGTGGTGTGTCAGGATGTGTCTTCTCTGCAGGGAGATGTGCTGAGCTTGGCTCAGCTGAAGCTCCACGTGTGGGCAGGTGGCTCGTGCTAGGTATGTGCTGGCACATGGGCACAGTTCCCTCCAAACCTGAGCCCAGAGGGGCTAAACTGAGCTCAGCCTGGGCTCTGTGCCACCCACAGCCCTGCCTGCAGCTGTGCCATGGCTGGATCCTGCAAGCCACTGCCTCTGAGGGCTACCATGGCCACCAGCATCCTTCAGGAGACTTGATGCCACATGGATAAATCGTAGGATTAGGAACATTGAGTCCACGTGTTCCCCCAGCACTGCCAGGTCCCCACTGCCCCGTGTCCCTCACCCCACATCTCCACAGGTTGGGAACCCCTCCAGGGGTGGGGACTCCACCACTGCCCTGGGCAACCCTTAAGGGCAAGAAATTGTTCCTCAGGGCCAACCTCAACCTCCCCCTGGGGCAACTGGAGGTTGTTTCTTCTTGTCTTATCACTTGTTCTTTGGAAGCAGAGCCCGACCCCCCCCTGGCTCCAGGCTCCTGTCAGGAGCTGTGCAGAGCCAGGAGGTCTCCCCTGAGCCTCCTTTGCTCCAGGCTCAGCACCCCCAGCTCCCTCAGCTGCTCCTCCCCACACTTGGGCTCCAGACCCTTCCCCAGCAGCTTCCTTGCCCTTCTCTGGCCATTCTCCAGCAAATGTGGATGGTCTGTAGCAGAGCAGAGAGCAGAGGGCAGGGGGTGACCACACTGATCTTTGGCCTTTCTGCCCTATATTCATTTTTCTGCTGTGACCTCTTTGTGCTGCTGTCCTCCTGGTGATGCAGGTCCAGCAGAGCTTCAGACCCTCCCCCTGACCCCGTGGTTGGTGGTAGCTGAACTGTTTTCATCTCTCCTTCAGCTCCCCAAAGCACCTGTGTGGGTTTGTGGGGCTGAGCTGTGGGGGGGTGTTTGTAGGACCTCTGGGGCTTTCCATCCCCCCTCTGCCCTGGCCCTGGGGCTGCCACGTGCTGAGCTGCAGCTCCAGGAGCAGAGCAGAGCAGAGTGAGCCCCCCTGTGCTCCAGGGCCAACAGGAGGCACACCCCAAACTGTGAGCCCTCAGCTGCAAGGTTGGCTTTGCTTCTGTGCTGCCCTCCTCCCTTAGGGCACCTGGTTATGAAGCTGTTGGTGACTTTATAGGCAGTCTCAGCACCTAAAGAGTTAATTCCCCCTGCCCCAGTGATATCAGCCTGACCCCAGTGTCTCTCCTGGACAGATTGATGCTATCTTTGTTATCACACTGCAGGGACCAGCCCCCTCTCACAGATGCTATCATTTGGCCCTCACTGCCAGCCCAGTTTGCCCACCCAGACCTGTCCAGCTCGTCTGCAGCACAGAGCCTGGAGCCCTTGAGAATCCTTGAGAAGAGGAGAGCCCTTCTCCTCTTCTTCTTGCCTGTGCTGCTGGCCTGAAGATTCCAGCAGCAGGCTCCCCAGATGGGCTGTGGTCATCAGCATTCAAAAATCCACCAGCAGCTCCCTGCCCAGCCCCTCTCCCACCATGGTGTGGTGGTCATGGAATCACAGGATGGTTTGGGTGGGAAGGGACCCTTCAAGGGCATCTGGTCCAACCACTGCACTGAGCAGGGTGCTCAGAGCCTTGGCCAACCTCCCCTGCCCCTGGGATGGTTCAAGGGATGGGACAGCCACCACCTCTCTGGGCAACCTGGGGCAGGTTCTCACCACCCTCAGCATCAAAATTTCTTCCTTCTCTCTAGTTTAAATCTCCCTCTTTTAGTTTAAACCCCTCCCTCTTTGTCCTGTCAGGACAGGACCTGGTAAAAGCCTGTCCCCAGCTTTCTGATAGGTCCCTTCAAGTCCTGAAAGGCCTCAGGAAGATCTCCCTGGAGCCTTCTCCAGGCTGAGCAACCCCAATCTCTCCTGCTGGCCTCCCAGCAGAGTTGTTCCACCACTCCCATCATCTCTGTGGCCCCTTCTAGCCCCTCTCCAGCAGGTCCCTGTCTCTGCTGAGGCCTCCAGAGCTGCCCCAGCACTGCAGGGGGGTGTGTGTGTCTCAGTTTTATCTTGTGTCAGGGGAATTTGGAGATGCAATCAGCTGCCCCAGGACCCAGCAGCAGCACAACAGCACCTCTCTAATGCAGGGGATGGTCTTAGCTCTCTTTTTCTGGGTCATACCCTTTCCTTGCCCACGAAGGGTGATGCCAAGTGGCACCACCCAGTGGACCTTGCCTATTTTCAGCCTCTGGTGCAGGGCTGCATGAGCTCCCCGGGGTGTGGGGCTCGAGGGTGGGTGCCAGGGTTGGTTTGGTGGCTCCTGCTCCACCTGCCAGACGTGTGCAGACAGTGAAATGAGCCCCACGCAACGCTGCCCAGCCGTGACAGCACCTCTGCCCTCCCCAGAGCTGCTGCAGCCCCAGCACTGGCTTCTCAGCAGCCTGCAGCACCTGGGGCTTGGCCTCTCCTTCCAGCCAGCAGCTGGAGCACTTTGCAGCAGCTCTTGGCCTGCAGGGCCAGCTTCAGGGAGAGATGTGGTGCTCGTGGAAGCCCTTGTGCTTTGCCAGATGGCTCTGGAGTGAGACCAGTCCTCCCAGCATGGTCTTCCTCAAAACAAGGGGTGCATCAGGAGAGCAGAACTGGTCCAGAGCAGTCCACCTGGCTGCTCTTCTTCTAGGCTCCAAGGACTGCTCCTTGTGGCCTTCTGAAGGGAGCCTACAAAAAAGCTGGGGAGGGACTTTTGCCAAGGGCTTGTAGAGGTAGGATGAGGGGTAATGGCTTCAAATTGCAAGAGGGGAGGTTTGGATTAGATGTATGGAAGAAGTTCCTCACTCTGAGGGTGGTGAGACCCTGGCACAGGTTGCCCAGGGAAGCTGTGGATGAAGCATCCACAACTGGAGATGTTCAAGAGCAGGTTGAACGGGGCTTGGAGAAACCTGCTGTAGTGGGAGGTGTCCCTGCCCATGGCAGGGTGATCTTGAAGATCCCTTCCAACCCAACCCAACCAAGGTGATCTTGAAGGTCCCTTCCAACCCACCCCACTCTGTGACTCTCTCAGTGTGGCCCTGTTTTGGAGACGTTGCTATGCCCAGTTGTTTTGTTGGGGTGGAACCACAAACCACAGAGTGAGCAGCAGAGGTGAGCAGCTTGCCTGCCTTTTTTTCATCTTCTTGTCTTGTTTGAAAGAAGGAAAACAAAACAGAGGCCGTTGAGAGGGGTGGGGGTGTGAAACGGTCGAGAGGGAGAGGGGGGGGGTGAGGTGGTTTGGGCTGTGCCTGCCTTGGAGCTGGGTGCAGTTCTGCCCCACAGCTGGGTGCTACCACCAGCACCGTGCTGGTGAAAGTGGCCGTTGGGGGTGTTTTGGTTTCAGAGCCCTCCCGAGCTGCAAGAAAGCAGGGGAGGGACTTTCTGACAAGGGCTTGTAGTGATAGGGTGAACGTTGTGTTTGTTTGATGATTCAAAATGGAAGAGGGGAGATTTAGATGAGAAATGAGGAAGAAGTTCCTCACTGTGAGGGTGGTGAGACCCTGGCCCAGGTTGCCCAGGGAAGCTGTGGATGTTCCATCCCTGGAGATGCTCAAGAGCAGATTGGATGGGACTTGGAGCAACCTGCTCTAGTGGGAATTGTCCCTACCCATGACAGAACTAGGTGACCTTTAAGGTCCCTTCCAACCCAAACCATTCAAGCTGAGACCAAGGGAGGATGACCCAGGGCTGATGTGGCACCGAACCCTTTGCTGTGGGGCCACGGGTGGAAAGCCTGGTGCTGAGGAGGCACCTCTGGAGCAGCCACACATCCCCCAGCTGAGGAGACATACTTTCCCCCTGACGACAGAGCATTCCTGTGGTGTGACAGTCCCTGTTCCAGTGCCACCAAGGCCAGACAGGGCCCCCATTGTGGGGCCAGGGGTGGACGAGCCCCTCCGGCGGGCGCTATTCTTAGCGCCGGAGGTCACGGTGGGGTGGGAGGACATCCCACCACCCCTCTGAGACCTCTCCTTGTCTTCTGCAGACCAGGGGGCTGCCCCCGCTCCTCAGCCAGCCTCTGGGAAGCCCTTGGATGTGTGTGTGGCCATAAAAGGTGGCTTGTGTCCCTCCCCCCCACGCTTGGGGCCGTGTCCAGAAGATGCGGTGCAAGGACGCTCTAGCGGTGGTTGGGTTTTGGAGAGAACAACAGGTCGTGTGCTGGGATACTCTTGGCCTGAGGGGAGTCAGTCCAGCTCGTACCACGAAGGGATGTGGCCCAGGCATCACGCTGGGGATTTCCAGTCCCATCCAGGGACGAGTGGAAGGGCTGGAGCAGAAGGGATTGGAAAACGGGCGCTGCGCCCAGCTCCGGCGGGGGTGGAGGTTTGGGGTGTGCAGACAAGCCTGGCAGCTTCCTGCTTGCCCCGAGAGCTTCGGGGACGTGATGTCAGGCTGGGGGTGGCATCTCTGCATGAGTCAAAGGTCACCTTCAAATCCTTTTGGGCACTGAGGAGACTAACCCCCTGCTCCTCACAGGGCTGCAGAGTGGGCAGGAGCAGCTCTGTTGTGATGGTGGCCCTCTGAGGGCTTGCTACTCATGTCCTGCCCCACCAGGTGACGTGGGGACCTCCAGCCCCCTGAGCTTTTCCCCTTCCCTCCCTTCCCTGCTCTCGGGTGGGTGCTGGGCTTTGGTTCCTGCCCCGCTGGCGTGTCAGAGAGGTGCCCCAGCAGCACATCTGCAGGGCCTCCTTCTGGCAGGGCGTGTGTTTAGAGGAGCTGAGACATGCCTTGAGCCCTGCTGTAAACACATTCTTCACCTAATTGCTTGTCCAGCACAGCAGAATTTGGGGTTTTACGCGCGTCCCGCAGGCAGCTGGGAATAGACCTTGGGAATCCCTGTTCTGAAGGTGACACCTCTTCCCTTAGCATCCCAAAATACTCCGTGCAGCAGCAGGAGCCCTACCTCACTTGCTGGGGAAGAGGGTGAGAAGCTGCTGGGTTTCCTGACACCTCTCCATGCCAGCTGGCAGCCCGAGTGGGCACCGAGTGAGATCTGCACCGACCGGGGTTAATCCTGCTTGAACCTCGAAAGGCTCCTGCAGAACCAGGGTGACCCAGGGGGATTTTGAGAGGGGTTTGCTTGTCTGAGAACCTGGTGCCTGGGTGGTGGGTTTCCATCTGTTGTAATTTGGGGGAAGGAAAAGGAAAGAAGTCCTTGTTGGGCAGGAGGGGATCAATGTGAGATGATGAATCTCGTCCTGCCCCTCGGGCTCTGCCAGCCTGGCTTGGTGTTGGATGCTCCCTGGATGTGTGTAGAGAATTGGTGTAAAGTCAGGTGGGCCAAGAGAAGCAGCCCCCCTGGGAGTTCACCCCGTGGAGGACCTCAAGCAGCCAAAATAACCTTTTTGCCTGACGTTTTCTCTGTGATTAGAGCTTGCTGCCGTAAGCAGGTCTAAGCTTGGAGATGCTTTGGCATTTCAAGCCAAGGGTTTGGCTCTTCTCTGTCGGATGACAGGCAAAGGTGTCATCTGAATTTTCTTCCTCATTCTGGCAAGGATAACCCAACTCCATCCCCATTGGAGAGCGTGGTTGTGGCGTGAAGATCTTGGCAAGCTCCTGCTGAGGACGGCGGGCTGGAGCCTTTCCCTGCAGAGTGTCATCTCCTCCTTTAGAAGCAGAGAGATGCTGTGAGCTCCCTGCCTTTGGCTCTGCGATGAACCCCAGGCCTCCAAACCCCTGGAGCAGTTCCTGAAGGATATCAGGAGGGAAACAATGTGGGGAGGGCTGGATGGGGCAGAGCGATTCCCTTGTCCCAGAGCCAACTTTCTCATTTCCTCCTCCCCGGCAGCTCTGGAGTCATTGAAAACCTCGTGGAATTGGGGGAACAACCCTCTCCTTCCTTGGCAGGTTGTCCTGCAGACAGGCTTCATTGTCATCCCAGCAAACAGGCTCTTCTCCAGCCCTTTGAGGACATAACTCTTGGTTTTTTTCAACTTTCCCTGCTTGAAGCTTGTGCTCATTGCTGTCAGCGGGCGGATTTACCCCAGCCCGACGTCCTAATCCAGCCCGAGCAATTCTTTGGGTGATAAATCATTTCCTCTAAGCTCTGGCTCTGTTTATTATTAGGAGTATTGTCATTCTTCTGACTGGTGAATTATTCCAAGGTGCCTTTAAACCCTGGCAAAACCTCTCCTGAAAAACACGTTGCCCAGAGCTAAGTGCAATATTTTGGGTGCGGCCGCGTTTGGAAATTGCTCATCAAAGAGATTTTTTTTTTTCTGGGGCTCGAGGGCTCCTCCCCTACCTTTGACTGAGAGGAAAGCACAAAGAAGAGATAAGGATTTCGAAATCACTCTGTGTATCACCATTCATCCAGCCAAAACCGGGCTGAGGAGCCTAAGGCTCTCCGTGGGGAGCTGCAGGTTAGACGTGTCTAGCTCTGGACCCCCAGGCAAACTGCTGGTGGCCAAAATTAGCACCCAGGAGAAGCTGATGTGATGATGGTGATGGTGATGTTGTAAGGAGAGGCTGAATGTAGGTGGTGCAAGATGCTGGTGCCCCTCAGGCTGGGTTAGGGGAGCCAGCAGCCACAGGGAGGTTTGCTCAAGCACCATGCCAAGCCCATGATGGGGAGATCCACCAGCTCCAACCCTCCCCTGGCTGAGCTCTGCGAGCCAGCGTGGCCCATTCCTGCAGCAACACGCCCTGGAAAGAGGCCAAAGAATTTTCATACCTGGGTGTCCCCCCTTCCCTCCCCAACCCTTTATCTGGGTAAACAGCAAAGGAGCAAAGAGTCAAGGTCGGGAAGCAGGAGTCTGCTGGAGTTCACACAGTGGCCAGCAGCTTTTTTGGCACGGAGGGAACCGTGGGGATCTTGTGCCAAGACAATGACTCCTCTGCTCTTTTGGGTGCCAGAAAAATAATCCTATTTATGTAACTCCAAGTAAAGCACTCCAGCACATGAATATTCAACTCTTGCTGCAAATAGGAAACCCTTTTACCTGAGGGATTGAACTCCTGAGCTGGCATCTCAGCCCAGATCTTGCCCTGTGGCTGCTCAGGGGTTTTTTTTAATAGTAGAAGGTTGTTTTTTTCCCCAGTGAGCACTGTTGGCATGTGATTTTTTTTCCTCCTCTGGGACAGAAGGGGCTGTGCTTCTCCTGGTGTTAATATCTCCTCTTTCCTTTGTCTTTCTAGGCAGTGGACCCATCCAGCTGTGGCAATTACTGCTGGAACTTCTCACTGACAAGTCCTGTCAGTCCTTCATCAGCTGGACAGGCGACGGCTGGGAATTCAAACTGTCCGACCCAGATGAGGTAGATTGCCCTGGAATTAAGCTTGCACCCCAAAAGCTGCTGAAATATTGACGTGGAGAGTCCTCCTCTCCTCCCTTCGGGGCTGAGATTTGGGTGGTTCTGGTCTTGTAGGGGAAAAACAATGAATTGGAGCCCAGGTGAAAAGTGGTTCAAAGTTGGGCTGCAGTAATACCTTCAGAAGCAGTACTTGGTGTCCAAAGTGGGGGGGAAATAGCTGAAAACACCACAGAGAGAGATGCAGAGCCAGAGGTCTTCTAATAGGATGTGTATGGCTGAGAGAGGGGACTCCCCACCCATTTTGGGGAGCAAATGGGACATTTGTTCCCTTCCCTTCTCTGAGTTTTGTATCATAGACTC